AACCTACCTGGCCCTATGTGAAAAGATGCCCCGAATTGTTAAATGCATGAATATAACTGTGATTTACCACATTTTTTGAAAAAGCTGGGTAGTATCAAATTCACTAGCAAAACCAGCTGGATACTGCAAACATGTTGAATCAAGAAACACTAAATAGAACTGTTCTGCAAAGGAAGAGGCTAAAAAGATTCTCAAAAGCAACAATTATCTGCGATGTAAAAGAAATAAGAGCAGATAGAAAACATAAATCATGACATTATCAGTCTGGACGGAAAGATTACAAAACCTTTGGACGACAGCGACCACGATGAGATGCCGTTATCAACAAATGGAAGAAAAACTTGAACAGTAGAACCTTCAGGTGCCGGCTACAAAAATACTCAAGATGCACGACAACTACCAGGGAGTCACAAAAGAACCATAAACATGTAAAGAACGCAGCCCATGCCCATTAAGGTTCAGGTCATGATTAACAATAAGAAAGAGACTGGGCAAAAAGCATCCATGGTAGAGTCATGGTGAAAACCACTGCTTGCCAAGATAGAACAACAACAACATCTGATGATCCCCCAAGATTAGGAAAATATTCTGACTGACGAGACAAAATCTGAACTTTTTTAGAAGTTTTGGTGGCATCCATTACATCTGCGTAAAACTTACGCAGCTATTTCATAAAAAAAATCATACCAAATAAAACACGTGGTGGTAGTGTGGATGCTGGAGCTTCAGGACTTGACTTACTTCCCGTAATTAATGGACACGAATTCTGCTCTCTACCAGAAAATCCTGAAGGAGAATGTCCAACCATCAGTTTGTGACCTTAAGTTCAAGCACACTTGGGTTATGCAGCAGGACAATGATCCGAAACACACCAGCAGGTTTTTCTGCGACTATACGATGAAAAGACCATCAACTAAGACTCTTTACAGCAACTAACGATTAAGTTGAGTATTAGGGGCAGCTCTAATCTGTTTATAGGACACAAATGCCTCCGAATTTAAGATTTATAACCCTAACCCTTCCACTAGCATCTGTTAACAGCTGTGATTAGTAACTAGCGAGGTTACCACTTTGGAAACCGGTGCAAGAACAATGCAAAAGTGGCTGCATAATATTGTTGAGTCTGATATCTCTTGTATGGAATATTTGTAGAATCTAGATGCTGATGTACAGAGACTCCTGCCAAAACATTTCATTTCTGTTTATTTTCAGTAATTTAATGGATACATTTCCATATGTATTTTTGTCTCTGTGTCTCTGTCTGTGTCATTAAAAAGGAGACCTGACTTATGAGCACTAATGCTGTTTTTGTCCTGCGATGCATGCCTCATCAGATCAGTGTCAGTAAAAACTTGCTATGAACCTTAAGTAGCAAAGGTTCAGACTTGATGAGGCATATTATATATTGACAGAAGACCTCAGAAACTGAAAATACTAAATCTCTTTCTTTGGCTTTGTATCAAAAGCAAACACAACTATTTGTGCTTCAGTTTGGCTCAATCAGTCTTTCTTGCGCTGGATGCTTTTGGAGAGGATTCAGCATCGTCATGGAGTGATGGAACTGAACAAGACTGTACTTCACTTTCTGGAGATTTGCCCACACTGAGGTTTAGTGTGGCTGTGTGAATGATGTAATAGTTACCCAAGGGTGTCTACAACACAATGGAAGAGAAAAGTATGGGTGTTCTGTTTTGAAATGCCACTTAAAGGCCGCTGATAGTTTATGTTTTTGTCTAGAAATTGAATCAGAACATCAGTACTACTCTCTGTTGAAATTATTTTTAGCTTACTGTAAAACGTTCCTGTTTACAATACAAAAGCCGTAACAGAACACCTCAATCCCAAATCATCAACATGACTCTAGGGATGGCAGTGCCCTAAGCTGGACAATACATATATTTCAGAAGCATTATTTGTTACAATCAATTAATCAAATGCTCTGAATAATATGATATCTGTGGCTGTCGCAGACCTGTAACAAGCCCAGCCAGGGCTACCTGTCTACCTGCACGCACTCTGCCCGTGCACTCATCGTGCATGAAAGTGTGTTTTAGGGGAGTGCCTTTGGAGGGAGACCTGAAGGCAGGAGAGGGGTTCTTGGTTGGATACTTTCACAATCTAGCTGTGTCTTGCTAGTTTCTCCAACACTACTTACCTTTAGCTTTAAGTTATTTAGGCTGCTATCAAGAAAAATATCTAATTTCAGTGTCAAATACAATCTCACCATGACCTCTGAACAGCTTTATAATACAATAAAGTTTCTCATCTGAAGATGATTTATTTGCTATTTGGTTGGCAGTCTACTGTATCTTTATCTTGCTATGGATGTGACTAGCTTTTATAGATTGTGACTGTTATTTGTAAGGGTGTGGTCTCTGTAAATGGACAGTTGCTTGCTGCACTTTGCCTTGTGCAACTTGAGTTTTCAAAGCTGCTATCTAGATGTAAATATTGATACTAGATAATACAAAGTAGGCGAAAGGTTCAAAGTACTATAACCATATTACCAAGATGCTCCACAGCCATCTGCACCACTTCTTTGCAGCCACTGGCAAATATCTATACTTATCTATCTTACTTCCTGACTTGACTTGGATAGCTTTGCCAGTGCAGTCAGGGCCAGATACACATATATCCATTACTGCATACAAAATAACAGCAAATGTAAAATAAATAACAAACCCATGAGTCTATGAAGACTGAAGTGACAATTACAAGACATACAAGGCCATTCTCAGAGGTGGTTGAGTTGGATTCTGTTTTTGGGAGCCAGCAGGTCCAGACAGGCTTGATGGAGAAGGTAAAGGTGGGAGGGAGACAGTTACACACTAACCCTGTTGTTATGCTTCGTCTCCTGTGCTGTTGAAACACAAGGCACTTTTAGCCTTAGGGCTCAGTTTTTTTTCTCAGTTTATGTTGATGGTTTATCTTCTTAAATGGCATTTTACCTTAGTAAAGTCCTGGAGCAATGGGGTGACAGTTTAGACAAAGGGGCTGATGAACGCTCTCACTTCGCCTTTCCACGTCGTACGTATTTCTGAAAGTGTTGAAAGGTCCTCTGAGATCCAGTGAATCTTTTTTGGTTTGGCTCTTGTCTCACTGACGAGAGCCAAAACTGCCTAATCCCATTAAGAGACAAAGCATTTTAAGCAGAAGCCTGTCCATCTCTGTCCACTGATCAGCCAGGCATGACAGCCTGTGAGTGAGGTGACATTTGGATCTTTGCATGTGATGCTTTTGGCTGTATCCCTCCTGCCCTTTTTGTCAAATAAAAACCTTTTTGTCTTTGATAGGCACGTTTGGCCGCATTTTCCACGGCGTGCTGCTGGATGAAAAGGACCCCAGTAAGGAAAAGCAAGTCTTTGTGAAGACGGTGAAAGGTATGCACTCCATCCTGGCTATAATGCTCAGTTGAAAACACAGCTGTCCATAGAAATGAAAATATTGTCAGGTCCAAGTGTGTTTTCCCATCCCTCATATTAATGTGTAACTCACTGTCAGTTTTCTAAGAAGTGTTCTGGTTGGGAAAGAGAACACTGCAATGCTCAATGAATGTCATTAGACCGAAATATGATCGTAATGCCAAAGACGTAAGGCGAATGACGTAAGGCGAATGACGATGGTTGTTGGTCTGAAACACAGCTGAATGGCTCAGTTGACAGCGTGTTTTGATTTTTATTTTTTTTGTGAGCACTGGTGTTGACCCCCGTAGATTGTTAACCAAACACTGTATCAGAAATAGTAGGTGCTATTCTAGTGGCTTTAGCAGATTGCCATACATGGTTTCAATCCAGTAAACAGGCACACAAATTTGACCGTTAATTAATTATATGTCCTACTCATGCTGCAGGGTTTGCATGCCAGTGAAAGGACTCATTTTTGTGGGACTGTCAGGTTCTTTGTTAGCGGCATGTGTCAGCTTTGTCTGCCAGTTGCCTTTTGACCTCTCCATTCTCTCATGTTTACTCAGGGAGGGGTGGATACCACTCGGTGAACAATATCCTCATGCCACTCTTGGCGTTGTTAAAGTCTTTACTTCCTCCTCCTGTGCCTTTTGGGAAGGGAACAATACTGCTTTCCATAAGTGTCAGATGATGGCAAAGCTGCATACACAGATTAAAAACTGGACCTCAGTGAGCTTGGCACAAGTCAGTTTTCCTCTGAAGTTTCCCACTACAAATGACTGTTTGCAGAGGAACCGGTGCAGGGAAACCAATAAAAATCCAACTCTACATGGGGTCTGAGAGTACAGAAATTATATCATTAACTTTTAAACTTTTTTACTGCACAGGTCACTCTAGTTCTGCCAGATTGCTCTATTTCAATGAGATTTTGTGTCTGATAAAATTGTTCAGATCACGCGTCTGAGGTGCAGGTGACCATGATGTTGACTGAAAGTTGCAAGCTTCGTGGACTTCATCATAGGTGAGTGGCAGCAGTGGTATTGTTTTTTTAGATTCAGAAATATAAGAAAAAAGAAACAAATGCCACATAACCCCAACTTGGTTGGGTACGTACGACATAACCACATTATTAACTTGTGCCATGGTTATAGACATATATTGGTTTCTTCATTATTTCTTTTGTTCACTTTTGCAACAGATTCCATTCTTAACATTAGCAGTTAACATTCTGGCTTACTCTAACCCAACACTGTATTCTGTCAAAGCACTTCCTGTGGTCGTCTTTAGAAGGCTCTGTTTCAATGCTGACGAAAGAACACCACATTTTTACACTGTAAAGTAGACTGCAAGGGGGAACCAAACATGTTTTCTGATATGTTTTCTCAATGTAACACTCAGGAACGGCACTTAAGCTTGTTCTGGTGTGGCTTTTATGATATTATATATATTTATTTTGCAAATGAATGGTTTATTGTGGGGGTCACGGTCTGAATGCATTGAATTTGGTTTGAAATTACGGTAATTTTAGTTTTAGTTTTACTGTACTGGAAAAGATTGTCATCATATGGGCCCACTCCTTCCCCTTTCTTCTTAATGAGATCAGCAAGTAAGTTTAGCTGACACTTCCTCTTCCATAGTTTGGCAATAGTTTGGATGACCCATCGCTAACATGTACTTTAATGTACAGTATAGATGCATTATTACACAACCTTCCTGCCCTCAGCTGGTCTTTCTTTCCACCTTCAGAAATCTGTTGCCCATAAGCCATGTGTGTACGGAAGACGGTGAGAAGCCCATGGTGCTTTTGCCTTTCATGGCTTGGGGGAATCTCAAGCTGTTCCTGCGGCAGTGTAAGCTAGCTGAGGCTAACAACCCACAGGTGAGAATTCAACTTTGCATACATTTGGTGGAGCCAAAAACACAACAAAGAGAAAGATAAATGCCTCAATGGAAGTCATGTGTGACATTGGATAGAGACATTTATTAAGCTATTAAAATAAATCTCCCAAATTGAAAGAAAAGTCAGATTTTATCCTAGAGTCAAATCTAAAAGAATGTTTTGTGTGTTTGCAGCAAACAGCCAAGTAACACCTTCCAGTAACTACTGTTTACACTGTTATTAGAAGGACTGTTGATATAGTCATGCAGCCGGTGCTCAGGGCAGAGATTTTTATTCACTATGTAAAGACAATCAGGCTTTTGTACAGGTTAACCCCAGGGAGTCTTTGATGTGCTTGGCAAAAGCCACAGCACAGATCCAACCAATCAATCAGCCCCAAAATACAGATGTAGCAAACACTTTGCTATCACAAGATGAAGCTTGCCATCCATCTGAATTCATCAAAACTGCTTTGTAAAGTTTTAGGTAACAAACACATCAGCACCTCCGTTCTCAGCAATCTCATTATGTAGTTTTGGCAGTTGTAGGAGACAAAGACATAGTCATTAAGTTGTGCTGTTGCAATAAACATTGAGCTCTAAATCAGAAACGAATCAGTACAGGGTAGATGAGGCTCTCGGGAAAGCACTGAGGGGGCACAATACTACAGTGTGGCATTCCTTCTGAAGCTTAACATCTGGTTTGGAAGGTAGAACAGTGAGGGGAAAAAAGTGTTGACCTTTTCCATAGTTTTTTTTTTCCCCCTAACAACCAACTGTTGAAATTACTCTGCATGGTTGATACACAATACACAGTGGTACCAGCTACACACATCTTAGTTTTGCTTGAGTTGTTGACTTTAAAAGTTCTTATCACTGTTCACTGGCTGCCAAGACTTTGTTTTTCTGTGTTGTGGAATTAATTTATTAAGGTTGTACTACACTGTCCACTGTCAGATAAGATTAAACGGTCCAAACATTTCCGCTCTGTGTGTCTGAGCCAAGAACTGTGCAGATAACTGAATTGAATACAAAAACATACGAATATGCACATTAATATATGGTACTGTCACGTGAATTCTCTTACAAGTCAAGGTTGTCTTGTAAGCTATACAGGATGTTTATATAGCCTACATTAGAGGAGTTGCCTCACTTTTATCAGTAAGGGGTCTTTTCTCTGCGGAGTGTAAGGCCTTTCTCAGAAACACCTGCTGGCCAAGCCATTGTCTACAAGCCCTTCAGGAGCTCCAAGCACAAAACAAACAACTTTCTTTAATGTCAGGCTCTGGCTCAAACCTTTGAGTAAGGGACTTTCTGACTCATGTCGTTCAGATTGCTTTCATTTTGTTGCATAAACAGTTATTCAGCAGTGTTAATAATGTAATTTTACACCTTTACGCCTAGAGCGAAATGCTAACATCATCATGCTAACATGCTCACAATGACAATGCTAACATGCTGATGTTAAGTAGGTATGTTTACCATCTTAGTTTAGCCTGT